ATACGTACACGTTTTAGAAGGTTCAAGTAAAGAAGAAAGGTTCAGAGGGTTGCTCTCTGTCATTTATTCCAGTTTTATCATGCTGTGCTCAGAGAACGTGACGTATACTCAGTCATTTCAGAGGTGTTACAGACTGGATAGGATTTACTGGAGGTTTTCTAAGGCCCAATCAATGAGTAATTTGGTAAATGTTTATTTATTTATTATTTCCAGTTTCATCCATCTCATTAGAACTGATTCAAATGAATTCTTTTTAATGGCTGAGTAATATTCCATGGTGTATATGTACCATAGCTTCCTGATCCATTCGTCTGCTGATGAGCTAACTTGGTAAATGTTTAAAGGTAGAGTCTCTCCCTCAGTCAACAGAGTTCAGGATTTATCTTTTAGGCAAAGTATATTATTCTGTCAGACTTGGTGCCAAAGTTTTTTATCTGGAATATGGAGACAACATGATAGTGTCTCTATCTGATGTGGCTGGGCTAAGTTACAGATGTTAATACATGAAAAGAGCTGAGAATAGTGTCCACAACACAGTAAGTGCTTACACAGTAAGCATGCTTAATTGTTGCCATCATGGTCATTATTTTTGTATCCTAGATTCTGTACTTAAATGGAATTTTGTCTGCCAAGGATTAAGGAACTGGGTTTGTGGCTTCCCAGTCATCTCCTATTGACTTCTCCTTGTATTTTCCATAGATTTGCTGTATGCAATCTGAAATTCATGGGATTATAGTGCATAAAATCTTAATTAAAGAATCCTTGTGTAATTTCAAGCTGATAGAAATCTAGCCCCTTAAACACTATCCTCCACACTGCCAGCTGTCTGTATCTTATCCCATCTTTCCTCTTAGTCCATGTTTTCCTCAAATTTCCTGAGCAAAACTGCTTCTGTGGGTTGGGATCAGTTTTCTGGAGCAGGCTCTTTATTATTTACTGCTGGTGTTCGTGTGCCTTTATGAACAGATGCGTGTTATCTCCTGTTTACTTCAGTGAATTAGAGGTGATTTTTTCACTCCTTTGCCCTCAAACAAGCACAGGTTCACTCATCTGCTCTCCCCTCCCTGTTAACCCCAACTCTGCCTACATCCTTACCTGGAACAAGTCCTGGACAACTGGATGTTGTGAACTGATCAGTCTGTCCTTCAACAGCCAGAAGAGCCTGGGAGTCCAGGGTTATGGGTAAGTTGCCCTCCCTGGAGTTTTCCCAAAGGCTGGGTTGTTGTTTTTTTGTTTTTTTGTTTTTTTTTTTTACTGAAAACCCCACCAAAGTCATCTGAGTGGAAGGAGAGAAATCTTTGCCACTGTCCCTGCTAGGAATGCCTGTGGAGGGTAACAGGACCTGGTGGGGAGCAGGGGTGAGATGCCCACAAGACAGCCTCCTTTCTCTGCTTTCAGGCCTCTGCCAGGCTGCCTTTACCTGGAGGTAATCTGAACTTTCCCTTTCCTGCATCCGCCTCCCTCAGAATCAGATAGAAACAGGGGAATGGGGGTGGTGGGGAAGGGACGAGGCCATGTGGTTTCTCTTCCTGGGAGTTTTCTGTGACCTTAGGGCCACGGTGGATATTTCTCTATGCCATGTCCTTCCTCCTCAGAAGTGAATGTGTTTTAGGTATAATCCCCCACCGCCTGCTCTCTGCCCATCTCTAAGGCAGGTCAAAGTCCAGCATTCATTAGTTGGGCTCAAATTCTGTTGCCATTCACGAATTTCATCAGTTTCTCTAGTTTTTTTTTTTCTCCTGTTCATTTTTCTGTGTGGAGGAAAGTGTTCGGGGGAAAAAAGTACCCTGTGCCATTAAAGTCACAGGCACCTCTTCCCACATCTGCGTGTCTGCCCTGGTCTGCTTCACTCAGAAGCCTTTGGGCTGAGCAACCAGGAAGGTGGCGGGCACTCTCCTCAAACATTTCTGATCAAAGCAGCAGGTCTACCAGAAACTCGATCACACCATGTTTCTGCAAATGACTCAAATTTAGGTCTCAACACATCCAAAATTACCTTGATTCCACCCCCTCCAAAAGCTCATGTGATTCCCTTTCAGCTCTGCCGGGCTTTTCCTTCATCCATAATTTCAACCGCACAGGCAAAGCTATAGCTTTTCCAGTGTCATGTACAGATATGAGAGTTGGACCATAAAGAAGTGTGTGTGCGTGTAGTCACTCGGTATTGTCTGACTCTTGGCAACCCCATAGACTGCCGGACTCCTCTGTCCATGTGGATCCTCCAGGCAAGAATACTGGAACGGGTTGCCATGCCCTCCTCCAGGGGATCTTCCCAACACAAGGATCAAACCCAGGTCTCCTGCATTGCAGGTGACTTCTTTACCATCTGAGCCATCAGGAAAGCCCAGGAATACTGGAGTGGGTAGCCTATTCCTTCTCCAGGGGATCTTCCCAACTCAGGAATCAAACCAGGGTCTCCTGCATTGCAGGTGGATTCCTTGGCTGAGTGCCAAAAAATTGATGCTTTGGAACTGTGGTGCTGGATAAGATTGTTGAGAGTCCTCTGGACAGCAAGGTCAAACCAGTCCATCCTAAAGGCAGTCAACCCTGAATATTCATTGGAAGGACTGATGCTGAAGCTTCAATACTTTGGCCACCTGATGTGAAGAGCTGACTCATTGGAAAAGACCCTGATGCTAGGAAAGATTAAGGGCAAGGAGAGAAGGTGGTGACAGAGGATAAGGTTGAATGGAATTACTGACTCAAAGGACAGGAGTCTGAGCAAACTCAGGAAGATAGTGAAGGACGGGGAAGCATGACATGCTGCAGTTCATGAGGTCGCAGCCAGACACGACTTGGTGACTGAACAATAATTTGAACAGCTTAAGACACCAACTGAAAAGTCACCCAAGTCCTCTCTCCATCCTCCAGCCAGCCCATCAAGGGCTTGTCAATGCTGCTGCCATCTCTCAAGCATCCCCACTTCTCCACCTCCTCTGCCATCCGGGCCCAGATCAGCACCACTTCCCGCATCCCTCCTACCCTCTCCAGGCCTCGTTCCACACTCCTTACCCATGACCACGGACTGTGGGCCTCTGCACGTCTGGTTCCTGCTTTACTTTCCCTTGCTTACTTTATTTCTTTATTTTTTAAGTATTTATTTGGCTGTGTCAGTTCTTAGTTGCAGCATGTGGGATCTTTCATTGTGGCACTTGGGCTTAGCTTCTACGCAGCATGTGGGATCTTCCTGGACCAAAGTTCGAACTTGAGTCCCCTGCATTGACTGGTGATTCCCACCACTGGACCACCAGGGAGGCCCCTCCCCTTGCATACTTTAGTCTAATTATACTGGTCCTTTCAATTCCCCAGACCATGCTCTGGTAAAGAAGACTGCAAATTCTTGGCATCACCCCCTGCCACCCTTAACTGAGAAGTGGAGTCTCATTTCCTACCTTTGTTTTAGGATAATTTGCCAAGATTCCTCCTCAGGGCCTTAATATCCAGAAGCCTCTCCCCACACTCCTCTCTGGCTCCATCCTTCAACCTAAATGCTCTTCGGAGGCCCTTCCAGACCACCTCAACTAAAAGTGAAAATGATAAGGTGGAACCTGCAGCTGTCCTTTATTTCCTTCTTAATGTTGTTCAGTTGCCCAGTCGTGTCAGACTGTGTGACCTCATGGACTGCAACACGCCAGGCCACCCTGTCCCTCACCCTCTCCCAAGGTTTGTCCAATTTCATGTCTATTGCATCAGTGATGCCATCCAGCCATCTCATCCTCTGAAGCCCTCTTCTTCTGCCCTCAATCTTTCCCAGCATCAGGGACATTTCCAATGAGACAGCTGTGCGCATCAGATGACCAAAAGACTGGAGCTTCAGCTTCAGCATCAGTCCTTCTGAGTATTCAGGGTTGAGTTCCCTTAAGATTGACTGGTTTGATACAGACAGACATAAATAAAACAAGCAAATAAGCATCATAATTTATTGTATGTTCCTCTCTAGAGCAGGGGTTGGCAACCTGTGGCCCACAACTTTTTAAATGGTTTTTTTTAATGGTTTTACTGGAACAGTCACACCCATTGTCCATTGCTACTTCTGCCATGGCAGTTATGCAATTGCTACAAATGCCATGTATCCTACCCAGCCTCAGATACCTACCATTTGGCTCTTTAAATATCCTGGCTGCACAGAGAGTAAAATCTTTGGCTCTTTCATCCTTAGATCAACAGTACCCAATACAGTTAATTGGTTGAAGGGATTGAAGAACTTTGAAGCCCGGCTATAGCCCTTCTTTACTAGGGGGATGTTGCAGCAGGGCATGACCAGCTCCCTTCACTGTCCTCACAGTCTAAGGGGTCCCAAGTGAAAACCCTGGAGGAGATGCACCAGAACCCAGGAGTCTTAAGTCCAAGGTCAGTCCAAGGAGGCCAAACACTTTCCTCATCCCTTCTGCTCAGGTTCAGAAGAGGACAGGGGGTAGGTTAGGGCCTCTACCACCTTTTGGGGGATACTGCTCTGACCAACCCTTTAGGCAAGGATGAGACCATACTTTCAAGGGGAAAAACAGGTCCCTCTTCTTCTTTGCTTTCTCTGACAAGTATGTGCTGGACTAGACCCTGGGAACAGCCATGTAGGAATGTGGAGAAAGACTCTCCCTAGTTCAGAAGCTCCTCCCCAGCAAGGAAGTGGGTATGCTGATATGCCACTTCCTGCTTAAACTGGACATCACAAGGGATGGGGGGAGGCATCAGCTTATGTGTGTGCTTAGCGGCTCAGCTGTGTCCGACGCTTTGTGACCCCATGGACTGTAGCCCGCCAGGTTCCTCTGTTCATGGGGATTCTCCAGCCAAGAATACTAGAGTGGGTTGCCATGCCGTCCTCCAGGGGATCTTACCAACCCAAGGATAGAACCCAGGTCTCCCGCATTGCCCACGGATTTTTTACTGAGCCACCAGGGAAGCGTGTGCACAAATATAAAGAAAAGAGGCAGGCTCTGAGAATCTGCCAGGCCCCCGGGATGAGCTGCAGATTTTTGCCACTGATGCCATGAGTCACCACGGGGTCCTCTGCTTAGAACACATTACATACTCTTTTAATCTGTTATCATCCATCAAGCCCAGGCCCAGAAGAGAAAGCATTCCCTTTTTCCTCCCTGCCTCCCCAGTACAAAGGCCCTGATCTCAGGCAGGTTTCATGGGTCCATGGAGGGGTGCCTCTAGGGAGGAGCTGAAATCTTAAGGCGTGCAAAAGAGCCAGGTTCCAGCAGTCCCAGGTTCTGGATGGCTTCCAGCAGCTGTTCCCGTGCATTTCCAATAAAGGTATTCTCCAGGAAGGCAGGTAGGCCTCCCACACCATCCCGTAGAGTATACAGGGGCACCCGCACCAGGCCCAGCACCTGGGAAAGGAAGGAGACGGGAGACTCTGGAAATTCAGGGAGCTCATCCAAGCCAGATCTTTCTAGATCAGAGGCCTGAGCATGCACACCTCTGGGGACGTAGAGGGCACAGGTCTTTGTAGACAAATAACCCAGGTCATGCTATATACATCTCACAAATGCCAACCCTTCCCACACCACCTTAGTGGCTCCCACCTCCAAAACGCATGCTACACCAGTTCTCAAAATTTGGTACCCAAAGCAGCCACATTAGCACTATTTAGGAACTTCTGAAAAATTCAAATTCTCATGTCTTCCTCCCCTCCCCAGCTGAGCAATTATGGGAGTGGGGTCAATAATCACTGTTTTAATAAGCCTCTTAGATGATCCTGATTAGCATATACAATCTATCCCTCTCTCCCCTAGCCTGAGTGCCAAAGTTTTCCAAAAAACAGGCAAGAAAAAATAGGGCCTAAAGTGCCAAGTCTGCCATTATAAAGTGGTAGCAGAAGAGTGACTTGGGTGGCTGAGTTTTAGAAAGGCAATGCAGAGGCCTGCAAACAGGGGAGAGGGCAAGATCTTTGCAGGGAGGCCAGGATGGCTGTTAACTAATCACCCAGACCCCAATACACGAGGAAGCAGAGGGGACAGGCCTTCCGGGGCTGGAGGAGGCGGGGTGGGGTCCTGGGCTGGCCCCACCTCCAGCCCGTGGTCTCGGGCGCGCGGCGCGCCCATCTCCACCGCAGCCAGCTGCTCCAGGGACAGGAGCTTAGTGTAGAAGTGCGCCACAACGCGCGGCCGGGACCCAGCGTGGGAGCTGCGGTAGTCAGCGCGCTCCACGCGAAAGGCGGTCGCAGCCTCGCCCAGCTCCTCGCCCAACTCGCGATTCAGCCCGTCCTCCAAGCTGCCGTCGCGCAAGTCCACGAAGCCGCCAGGGAAGCCCAGACGCCCATCAAAGCGCATCTGCATCTATGGGAGAGGGAAGCTGGGATGGCCTGGGACGCCCAAAGCGGCTTGGCCGCGGGGCGAGGGCGGGCGGTGGCCAGGAGCGCCCCCTCCTCACCAGCACGGCGTAGCGTAGCGGAATGCGACCAAAGAGCAGCCCTGGGTCCGGTGCGTAGAGCAGCGCGTGGCACGCGTGCCGCCAGCCCGGCCCCAGTTGCAGGGCCTCCGCCAGCTCAAGCCTACGCATGCCGGCCATGGCCTCCCTTCCCCAGCTCTGCGGTGCGGAAGGCCCAGGTGGGCAGGCGTGGGCCACCAGAACCAATCCCTGCAGGGCCCGGGGCGGGGTGCGGTGGCACGGACCAATCCCTGCAGGGCCCGGCGGCCAGGGCCAATCCCTGTGGGGCTCGGGCGGGACGCGGAAGCGGCAACAGCCAATCAGAGCGGGGCGTGCGGGGAAGGCGAAGGCCCAGTGGGGCATCCGGAAAGTGGCACTGGGCCGGGGCGGGAGTTGCGGAGTGGCGGGATCCTGGACGCGGGAGNCCGCCCCCCACCACCGTGATAGTGGTGCAGTCACAGTCTGCCTTCAGGGTACTTCACCAGTGTTGGGATTGCTGAGTCGTGCGCAGAGGTTTTCTGCCTGAGTAGAGTTTAAGTATCTAATTAGGGACAGGGATGTGTCCTGGGAGCCACACCTGGTTAGTCTAGATGGTTCCACTGGCCTGCGGTGGGAAGGGAATAGAGCAGAATTGGCTCAGAGCGTCGACCTATCCTGTGCAGTGGGGACAGAGATGGGTTTAAGAGCCATCCTGGGGGTGGTACTGCAGGGACTCAGTAGCTGATTGAGTGGGTGGGGAGGGATGCTTTGCCAGGGTGATGGCAGGGTTTCCAGCCCTGGATGGATGGTGCTGTCACTTTCTGGGATGGGTATCATAGGATGGGGTGTGGGTGTGTAGTTCTGGTTAAGACTTGGGGGTGGCGGTAAGTGTTGGATAGAATGGACAGGACCCCGAGATTTTCCTGGAAAGGGTGAGGAAAGGGCTGTGCTTGAAACCCTGTTGGGTGGAGGAAGGAGAGAGAGCAAGAGTCAGTCATAGGTAGAAGTGTCCAAGGCTTTCTAGGCTCAGACCATTGAAAGAAGGAAGGTGAGGAACAGCCCAGAACTGGGGGCTCCTCAGGGCCTGATGCTGAGTGAGGAACAGGGGTTCAGGATCCTTCATCCTAAGCCTCCCCACCTATTTTGCAGGCCCTACATTCTATGTAGGTTCTCTCTTCATCAGCAGTCAGTATTTGTTACACAAAGGATAGGAGGAGTCAGCTTCTTGAGAGAGGCTGGGCTTGGAGTCACAGCCTTTAAATGACAGCATGTGTTAAGAAGAAGTCCAAAAATCCTCCCAGACACAGGCTGGCTTTAGCAAAAGGGAGTCAACTCTTTCTCTGTTAAGTAGAGCGCATACCAACCTATTGGGCTTCCTAGATGGTTCAGCAGTAAAGAATCTGCTTGCCAATGCAGGGGACGCAAGAGATGCAGGTTTGATCCCTGGATGCGGAAGATCCCATGGAGGAGGTCGTGGTAACCCACGCCAGTATTCTTGCCAGGATAATCCCATGGACAGAGGAGACTGGCAGACTGCAGTCCATGGGGTTGCAAAGAGCCTGACACTGAGCACATACCAACCTATTAGGGATATTAAGAGAATTAGAGCACTCAGAACAGTGCTAGGCACAGTAAATGTAGCTATCTTTGGAGTTCAGGGTGGGCCAGAGAGCTGTGTAAAGGCCAGCACTTGGAGCTTACCAGGCCTCAGCCTGGGGTGGGGTGAGGTAGAGGGTGGGGATGGAGTGAGGTGTCCCAGGGATCGTCTTCCCTAGCTTAGTCTTCTTAATAAATGGCAGAGATGGCATCTACTGACAGAGGCAAGTGAATCAAAGTGATGAGACTGTATGTGTGATATAAGTCAATCCCCTCTTAGAGTTCTAGAAAAATCTAAGAAATTTCCAGGGGTCTGGAAATCGCCAAGTTTAAACAATTAAACTTTGCAAAAAGCTCAAAAACTGCCAATACCAAAAGGTAAATTGGTGCAGCCACTGAGGAAGACAGTATGATGTTTTCTCAAAAAACTGAAAATAGAGCTACCATATGACCCAGCAATTCCACTCCTGGGTATATATCCAAAACCAAGGCAAAGACAAAAAAACACTTACTGAAACTGAAAGAGATACACGCACTCCAGTGTTTGTGGAAGCATTATTTACAGTTGGCAAGCAACCAGAATGTCCACTGACAGACAAATGGATAAAGAAGATATGGTATAAATACAGTGGGATACTACTCAGCCATAAAAAAGAATGACTTGGAGGGTGTTATGTTAAGTGAAATGAGTCAAACAGACAAATACTGTATAATACCACTTTATAGCATCTAATATAAATGCCATAAACTAGTGAATATAACAAAAAAGAGGCAGACTCACCAATTTAGAGAACAAACCGGTGGTTACAAGTGGGGAGAGGGAAAGGGGAGTGGCAATAGAGGGGCAGGGGACTGTGAGGTACAAATACTAGGTATAAAATAAACTACAAGTATATGTTGTACAACATGGAGAATATAGCTAACATTTTATAGTGACTAAATGGAGTATAAGCTTTAAACTTAAGAATCACTATATTGTATACCTATAATTTGTATAATATTACATGTCAACTATACCTCAACAACAAAAATATAATAAAAGAAAAAACCTTGCCAATACCAAGGCTCCACCCCAGACAAAGGGATTCAGAATCTCTGGAGGTGGCACTGAGGTGTGGATGTTTTTTAACTATGTATTTATTTTTGGCTGTGCTGGGTCTTCACTGCTGCACTTGGGCTTTCTTTAGTTGCAGTTAGTGGAGACTACTCTGGTGGTGGTGGTTTTTCTTGTTGCAGTGCACAGGCTCCAGAGCACAGGCTGGTAGTTGTCATACAGGCTCAGATGCCCCACCGCATGTAGGACCTTCCCGGACCGGGGATTGAACCACGTCCCTAGCACTGGCAGGCGGACTCTTATTGGACCACCAGGGAAGTCCCATAAGTGGTTTTGATATGTGTTTGAGGTGACTCTTGGTAAGGAACCAGGGCTGAGAACTGTGCCCTAAACTTAACCCTTACCCCTAACACTCTAAAGGTGACTTGGTTTCTCTCTGGAAGGGCTTCGTTGGGGATTTAGGGTCGAACATGCCTTTTCCCAGGCTTCGAGAGATTGTATTCTTATTCTTTAATGGTTGCCTGAAAGAGACTTTTATTTATTTATTTATTTTTAATTTCAGTACCTTTTATTTGTTTTGTTTTTTTTTTCATTTATTTTTATTAGTTGGAGGCTAATTACTTTACAATATTGTAGTGGTTTCTGTCATACATTGACATGAATCAGCCATGGATTTACATGTGTTCCCCATCTCGATCCCCCCTCCCACCTCCTTCTCCACCCGATCCCTCTGGGTCTTCCCAGTGCACCAGGCCCGAGCACTTGTCTCATGCATCCAACCTGGGCTGGTGATCTGTTTCACCATAGATAACACACATGTTTCGATGCTGTTCTCTCGAAACATCCCACCCTCGCCTCCTCCCACAGAGTCCAAAAGTCTGTTCTATACATGTCTCTTTTTCTGTTTTGCATATAGTGTTATCATTACCATCTTTATAAATTCCATATATATGCGTTAGTATACTGTAATGGTCTTTATCGTTCTGGCTTACTTCACTCTGTATAATGGCCTCCAGTTTCATCCGTCTCATTAGAACTGATTCAAATGAATTCTTTTTAATGGCTGAGTAATATTCCATGGTGTATATGTATCACAGCTTCCTTATCCATTCGTCTGCTGATGGGCATCTAGGTTGCTTCCATGTCCTGGCTATTATAAACAGTGCTGCGATGAACATTGGGGTGGACGTGCTGAAAGAGACTTTTAATTTAGCTATTTCTACGGCAGTGTGAACAACTATGAAACCAAGAGAATAGCTCTACAAGAACATGACTGGAGACCGGAGCTTTTTCAGGATGGATGAATATGGAAGCCATCAAGACCCTCCGGCCTGGCCTGCCTTTCCAAACTGCTCTTGGCCTCTGGTGGGGGAGCCCAGCCCCTGCCTCACATCTCCTTGTCCACCTCCTGAGGCCAGTTGCCCAGCAGTGGGGGCTAAAGGTCCAGAGCTGAGCCATGTGCCTCTAGAGATGCTCCCAGTTCAAGAGCAAAACTAGCTCAGTGTTCAGCCTCAGAGACTGCTAAGGGAACTTATTCATGATTTTTAAGTAAATGAGAAAAGAGCTCTACCTCAGGCAACCAAATAGTCAATGTTGTTGTTCAGTTGCCCAGTTGTGTCCGACTCTTTGCGTGGACTGCAGCATGCCAGGCTTCTCTGTCCTTCAGTACCTCCCAGAGTTTGCTCAGACTCATGTCCATTCAGTCAGTGATGCCATCCAACCATCTCAACCTCTGTCGTCCCCTTCTCCTCCCACCTTCAATCTTTCCCAGCATCAGGTCTCTTCAAATGAATCAGCTCTTCCCATTAGGTGGCCACAGTATTGGAGCTTCAGCTTCAGCATGAGTCCTTCCAATGAATATTCAGGACTGATTTCCTTGAGGATTAACTGACTTGATCTCCTTGCAGTCCAAGGGATTCTCAACAGTCTTCTCCAACACCACAGCTAAAAAGCAATCAATTCTTCAGCACTTAGCACTTAGCACTTTATGGTCCAACTCTCACATCGGTACATGACTACTGGAAAAACCAGGTTTTTCTTTCTATAGAGAATTCCAGTTATTCAGAGAAGAAAGATGCTGCTGCTGCTGCTAAGTCGCTTCAGTCTGTGCAACCCCATAGACGGCAGCCCACCAGGCTCGCCCATCCCTGGTATTCTCCAGGCAAGAACACTGGAGTGGGTTGCCATTTCCTTCTCCAACGCAGGAAAGTGAAAAGTGAAACTGAAGTTGCTTAGTCATGTCTGACTCTTAGTGACCCCAAGGATTGCAGCCTACCAGGCCCCTCTGTCCATGGGATTCTCCAGGCAAGAGTACTGGAGTGGGTTGCCATTGCCTTCTCCAAAAGAGAGATGAAGTCAATCAAAACTTTTTCATTTTTTAAACTTTAAAGAATTAAGAGATCCTAGGAAATGATCATCAATGGCTGCCAACATCATTAAAATGATAGGAAAATGTCCCACCTATGAAATATTCTTGCCCCAAAACTGAATTTGAATCTAGCTACCATATTATAAGAACTACAAAAAAAAA